AACGTCACAAACTAGAGATGGCTGGGTTCCAGATGAGTCTCTCTCGAGACTAAATTTGTTTGCAAATGAGTATATTTCGCTAAGTTCGTGCAGTTATTGTTCGAGTAGAACATGGTGTTGACGAAAACTCGCGGAGTATGCCCACCTCTTGAGTCTCAAGAAGAGCGGAACCGGTCGTGGGCTGTCGAAGAATTTTCAGCAAACTTATGAGTAGTATATTACGTCTAAACGACTATTATTACTTTTTGCTTTTGCACTGCAAACATCAGTACAATGTGCGTCAAGAGTAAAAGTTGCACAATGTTAAGCATTTGGTTTGCTCGATTACATTAGTAAAAACATCTGTGATTATTGATTTTAGTTCAGCTGAATTATTGTTGTCACTGTGATACGAATTTTGTTTGTTTGGCTCTCTTGTGTCGTGGATATTCACAACTTCAAGTTAGTCCTGCTTTCATTGTCATTGATGGTATGAAGTGGTAGTATCATGATGACCTGAGCAATACGGAACTTGAAGGCGGCAAGCCAACACCGGATGTAAATATTTGCTCTGGTCAGTTTGTCACTTCATGTCAAGCACATCGTCAATCCGAAGCAGCGCGGTAGACATCTGCAAGCACAGATCAAGTGGTGAAAATCCCTGGTCAACATATAAGTGGACATTCGTACGTAAGCTTCGGTGAGTTATTCCGGATCCAGCTTAATCTCTCCAAGAAAAATAAGCAAGAACGAAAAATATGCAAAAACTTTTGGCAGTAAAAAGATTTTGTTGACTACCCTCATTTTCAAGATTGCTATGAAACTCCCACTGCCATCTATATTTATAACATCGAATGTCAGATTTCATTTAATTTCTATTCAATGAAGGGCCTTTTGTGACATTGTCACGCCACTACCCACATGCATTCAAAATAATTTTTTTACGCGGTCTCCCATCCATGGAGAGAAGTCACTATACCTCCGACTGAGCCATTAATGAGATATCAGAAACGCACAAATTTTGATTCCACTCACAGAATTTTTCCAAACCCCACATATGCGTATTAGTACACCAATACTAACCGCCCTTCTCTCCTATCATAGCGAAAAAATATTTCCAGAATTTTGACCTGAACTTGTGTAAACTTGGTATACATCCATAAAAACGCGTGCATACTTGTAAAATTCATGGATGTAGCTGATTTGTTCTCCGAAAAGTCAATTTTCATGCCAGTTTTTCAAAATTCCGTTTAACGACCAAACCTTCATGTGTCAAGCAAGTCTTGAGAAAAACTATTTTGGGTTTTTCATTGAACGAAGACGGTAACTGAATGGTCTTACATCGGAAAGTCGGACTATTTTTGCCCTATTAAGATTGCTTCGTTCCGACAGCGGGACCCCTTAAGTTGAAGTACATCTGGTATGTGGCTTATTAGAGAAGGTAACATCGTCTGTCATCATGTAGAGGCTTCGTAATGTCAGTATTTCGAGAGAATGGATCTGACCCGTAGTAAAACTTGGTATCACTTTTTCAACAATGTTAACACAGGGGTAAAGAATCCTGATAAAAAAGCTCCTCCAAAGACCGACCCTTCGTTCCAAAAATAGTGCTGGTACCCACATGTGTCAGACGTCGCAGTTCATTACATGAAGCGTTTTGTACGAGATTGAAAATTTACCTCTTGTAAGAAACTCCTTCTAGGAAAGCATTACAGTGTTTCTAAAAAGAGGTAAAATTGCTAATTTTTAATGACAGAGTAGCCGTCCTGGTCTGAAGACAATCCAGTTGGAGCATCTTATATGGACTCCATAATGTAGGGGCGAGATGGCCCAAGTGGTTAGAGCATGAATTTAATGACCGGAAGACCTGTGGTTCGAACTCGACCTCTGCCTCTTGACTTCCCCTGTCCAGGCTTAGGCAACCTGGCAGTATCCCAGCCCTCGTGCAACCTTCGGGTAGCATGGGAGCTAGGCGCCGAATGGGTGTTACAGCTGAACGATTTTTCTTCCACAATGTAAAGGGAATCAGCTTTGTGAACAGCTTCCTACAAATGACGTATGTAGTGAGGGTGCTTTCAGCTAGTGGAATGATGGAATCACTAAAGAAGCCGGTAAAATGGACACACTTAATGTGACATAGATCCTAAAATCGCCACACAAACAATTTATGTAGATTTGATCCTTTTTTTGGTGGTGTTAGAACGGAACTTCGAAGTATGACTACACTGGCTTTAGTATATTCCATGGTCACCAAAAGAGAACCGCCTTCATATGAGACTACTGCATTCATTCAACTTCCTCGGGATTAGTGTACTTCAGTGGGTGTTTTTCACTCATAGTATCATGGAGCTTAATATCATATTTCTTGAACGTACCTTTCAGCACAGGAATTACCATGGCATTACAAAGTGACACGAAGATTCATGCAGTAGTGTAGACATCGTCACAGGTGGTCATGAGATGCGTTTCCATTGTGCTTGTTCACCCCATCACTTCGCCAAAAAGTGATCTAATAGTGAGATCACTTCGACCGGTCGTGGAAGGATGCGGCCATACTTGGAATGAAAAGTACTATTCACTGAGTTCTTGACTACTGTTCAACAACCCAAGCCGGTTTTGTCATTCTTGTGGTAATCCCCTGCTAACGACCATTCGTATGGACTAAGCGATCAATATTCTTATCGATGAATCTGCTAGACCAATCAACTACAACCCTAAGCATTTGAATGCCCTTAATTTGTCAAAATACTGCACGCAAGAACTAGTGTTTGAACCCCAGTGTCTTGCAGCTGGGGATAATGATATCAAGCGAAAACTTGTGTGAATATGACCACAAAGTTAGAAAAAAATGCTCGTAATTTTCAGGCAATCGGTTTACACGCCGAATCTGACTGGTGAGATGTACTGCAGTGAGAATGTCTATATCGCGAAAAGGATAGATGTCATTCTCCTCGGGAAATGCTGAGCAGTTGTGAATGCGACATTGCAGAGTTTATAAGTCACCCGCACTGTCAACCAAACATCGATCAATCCTCCTTATCTACGGACAGTTTTTTTATTCGCCTGTCAGTTTATGATGTGTTTAGAATGAACCCACATTGCGTATGATTGAAAGCGGTAGTTGGGAAGTTGCAAAGGGTCACCGCATGCAATGTAAACAAAAATGCACCAGTACTGAGAATTTATCCCAGCTTACTCTTTGCAGTGAATTTTGTTCTTGCTGTGTAATCTGCAAATAAACCTCACGGTTCCCAAAATCTGCTGTGATCACAGGAATAGAAGATGCGCGACGCTTTAAAAGGATAAAAACAAACTGACTGACAGTTACTGAAGAGGTTCCAGCAGTAATACGATAATTTTTATATAAACAATATTTCGCTGTGTTGAATATCGCGGCGGTGTATTTGTTTAATGAATATTGTAAATGGAAAGGTATGTTCTCCAGTAGTAGCAGCTTCACTGTTAACTAAGGTTAGCGTTCCGCAACCAAAGTATCTTTTGCCAGGCAAGCGGCAAGGCAAAAATGATGTGGGCGGTAATAAGGAAACAAGAACAATGCGTGCTGTTTAAGGAGGCATCGGAACGTGCATTTGTTTTCATGGAATCCTAGTCATCTGACATATTAACCTGGACTTCCACCATGAAGAGCAACGGACTGCCGACTCAATCAGAATGGCAAAACGAAGCAGTCGCCGCAACAACTGTCCAGGCGGGAAAACAACGATATGGTGATTCAAGTGCGCACGCAGTCTAGTACGGGTGCCGTGTCCTATAAATACTTCACCTGGCCAAAAGCTGCTTCAACGCGTTTTGTTCCAGTCATAAACTCACTTGAAAAATTTATCCACGTGACGCTATATGCGGAATATTTAATCTTGACCTTGGTCTACCACGAATCATCTCAGCGCAGAGATGATGTCTTCCGAAACAATTTTTTCTGTGGCCCAAGAAGCACTGAACATTTGCTTCATAACCCCAGAAAATATTAGTTCCCACTTGAGCGCCACTTTATCCGGCCGAACGCCAAGAATCTAGAACATGCGTCCATGTCACGTGACTTTAGGAAATGCACCGGCGTTTTGGTAACTCGGGTGCATCTACTGGTAGATCAGGTAGTCACTGACCTGCTTCTCGAGCATAGCAATTAGCTTCCAAACGCTTCGTCATCGGTCGAAGTGAATACTGTAGCAGAATGGCAAGAGGCGGTGACCCTAATCCTTTCCCTCAATGTAAATAATTAGATGGATGGTGACTGAGGTCTCACTTCCGTCGGGTTTACAATTCACTTTTCCTTTCCAACTTTGGAATAGCTGCTAGCCGCAGAGTTCCATCTAAGGAAGGTGACAGCAAGTCTTGACATTATTTGTCCGTACACAACCCGGTACAGTGAAATCTTTTTCGACATTCAACACTTTCCGCTCATTTTAAGCCGATCGCGGAATTATACCCCCAACATACTGCCCTGGGTGATATTCCCACATCGGCTGAGTGGATTTGCGTGAAAGAACTGTGCATCGGCCATCATTTATGCCCATGGGATCTAGGTTCAGGGCCATGTCGGTCAGCAACAAAACAATCGGAGCTTCCCATGATCCTTGTTTGATAAAATCTTGGGAGGCAACTTTTTTCTGGATGTAATTATCTTACAGTGTATGAGGCACAGTAAAGTTTTGTTGTAGCTGCGATTGACTTTCTTGTTCAAATCCATGTGATTTACGGACTTTCGCAGTGGCAAATGGTATAAAATTAAACCAAGAGACATGAGAATCGTGTAGGAATAAGCATGTACCAATTAGTTCAAGCTGAAGAGACAGATGAAACAATAAATGCACAACTTCAGTAAGCCGTACTCGGAATGATAATTTACATTAGAGAGATTTTACTTGGTGAAATACCTGGAAATAAGTCCCACAAACAATCGCATCCAGGTGGTGCCATCGCTCGCTGAAGAACAACTGAGAATTTTTCGAGAAATTCACTTATTTGCGAATCAATCTGGTTTTCACGAGAGACTCAACTAAATCTCTCCTTTATGATATTTTACAACTGAATGTGCTGCACACAGGCTACCTCATGATTCAGTTGGTACGATATTCGAGATATCCTTTGTTAAAACATACTGCGATATACCGAACATAGTGCCAACGGAAACATGAGGTGGCCTGTGTGCAGCACATTCAGTTGTAGAATATCATAAGAAACGGGAGATTCAGCTGGGTCCCTCGTGGAAACCAAATTGATTTCCTATGACTGTATTTCTCGAAAAAAAGTCCAATTTAGGTTCAAGTAGAACATAAGGTTAACGGAAACTCGGGGACTGCGCCTGCGTGATGAGCCCCAAGAAGGTCGAAACCGGTTGTGGGCTGTCGAAGAGCTTTCAGCAACCTTGTGAGTAGTTTCCTTTATGTAAATGACACTGTTTACATCCAATAGAAAGACGGAACAAAGTAAGATACCTGAATACGTGAACAAGAATCTGAAAATGCCGGGTTATTCAGGGTTGCGTGAACACAGAATGGCAGGAAAATCCCAATTATGTGGAAGAATTTTCTCTATCGGACCTCTTAACTGTTACCCAGTTTAAGCGGTTCTGGCCACCACTTGTAAGTTTACATCTCAGTTCACCTATTGTTTTTTCTGTATGTCCACGAAACCCACATGGCCCATCACGCGCACCATGCATAGCTTGACCCTAAATAACCCGATAATTTTTTAAAACGTCCAGATGTTTCCACCTGCTTTATCTTTTGGCTTAGTTTTGCTCTTCCGGTTGGTTTAAAGCTTGATGGACAGTCTTGAGAAGGTCAAGAGATCCATCGATTTTTAAAAGAGCTGTGTGAATACGCATGGCTTGGAAGTGTACCAGGGAAACGAATGACCTGCTAGGACACCTCAAAGCAATAAGGCTAATTGGTTAAAAGGTTAATTAGATCCAACATGAGGCATGCATTTGCAATGTTTTATCGTGATGAACCAAATCATTCATTCAGAATGGAAAGAGTTAAGTCAGTTACCGAGCACCAGAGACCATGGGGACGTTCAAGAAAAATATGTTTCATCTTTGCAGGCAGTCAAAAAGCTTCCAGCAACCTCAAAAATGATGCATTACGTACATGCAATGTGTTGTGGCATCTCGAGTATCATACCAAATGAAAATTGAGGCAACTGGGTTCATGACATTCGGTTGAAGAAAAATATGTTAAACGAGATATTCAAATGCGAGTCCTCTGTGAATATCAGGCCAGGTGTGTGCGTTTGTTGTATTTTGTGCAATTTGGGTTTTAAAAAACTCGGAGACTGCGCCCGCTTGTTGAGCTCCGAGAAAACGGAACACGTCACGTGCTCCCAAATAGCTCCACGGAAATTTATGAGTAGTGTGTCACGTCTATCCTTAAACCGGTTTACTGTACTGCTCACCTAAGAGATTTTTCATGAAAACCAGAGCATTAGCTAACAGTTCAGGCTTTATTTTGCCAAATATTCATTTTTCGACAGATAATAATAAAACTCAGTATTTCTTTGTTTGGCACAAGTTAAACTGATTTATCCGGTTAGTTTTTATGATAACGCCTCATAATATCGCTATACTGAGAGATATAAATAAGATATAATGGTTTTAAGTAGTCTCCCTCAATGGATACGTAACGAAACCGTTTAAACTTAGTGGGCCTTGCAAACTTTCGTAAGCAGGTCAATGATTACAAAAGTTTTTTCCACCAACATCTTAACCAGATTGCTCCTAACCAGCTTGCTGACGAAGTTATAGGTTGAACGACGCATCTGCCAGTTTAATGGGTGTCTGGAAATATCGATTTTGGAGAGCTTTTGTAACCTACTTATAATGAGAATCCACGATCGCAGCCAGTTCGGTACTCAGCCGTAGATAGTCATGTTGGTTTTCCTAAGAAAGTAGCTGTCTGTTCTGGCTGCTGATCTATTCAATTTGTTTAGCAATTGACTTGGGAGTCAGCTGTGACCAGATCAATCGTCAGTTTATCAGCATTGAATTAATTCACACGAGCTATCAATAGTTCGATGTATTATCAACAGTTTTTCAATCGTCATCGGCTTTTCAGAGTGCTGCCTACACTGATATGCGCACACGGTTCTTGCTGCACATAGATCTGATTATGGTAGGCATCGATAATGTCATCTTAACGTTCTGATTGAATACCACTTGATTTTGCTTTTATCCAAACTTCTCACTCATACTTGCGTGTCTCGCTTGCAAAAATATGATAAACGAACGGATTTTTTTCAGAAATCTGTCATATGCAAATGACCTACTGACCATAAACAATTTATTTGAGTTTTCCAGCCGCTACTCGAGACGTAACAACTACAAAATTATGTTAAAGTGAGATACAACCCAGAGGGCGTACTACCAATTCAGAAGCGTTGTAATTTCGAATCTTCCGGGCCCTGTAATTTGGTCGACCGAGGTTAACGATGGGTGGGTGGATGATTGTCACAGTTTGTACTTTGAAAGACGATCACGGTCAGTTAAACGTTGTTTTAAGGTATCACTTGATTCTTATGTTCTAAGTCTGACAAACCGATCTGTAACTGCATTTGGGTGACGAATGAATATGAGCCAAGTTTGCCCAGAGCTGTTTTGTGTAAATTGTTTGGCAAATGAATTTTGCTCACTTCACAACTTCTAAACTCTGTGATCCTGGCGTGTTTGCACACGGTTTGGGTCTTGTTGATAAGCAAACGAGGAATCAAGGACCTCAGAGACCGTGTGAACTAGTCCCGACACTGATTAATTCGAGTTTATTTGCCAACTTAACGGTTCTCCGTTAATTTTTAAGCAAGCCTGAACAACAATTTTGACTTGTTTCATTGATCAGCAGGCTTATTCTTCGCCCTCGCCCACGTACGACGAATGTTGTGCAACGTTGTCAACCGTATGTAAACATCATCTTTTTGTGTAGTAGCGAAAAGAAAATCTGCTAGGCATTTATGTGAATAAACACCTATGGGCAATTACTTGTCAATACATGTTTCCAGTCTAGTGAGCTCTCAGTTGTACCTGTGTGTTCGGCTTGGCTTAGTACCCTATTCTTTAGACCACCGCGTTGTGCACCAGAGCCTTCTATACTGGTCTTTTTGGTATCCAGTCAGTTCCGTATGCGTTTCTGATAGTTGGAGCGGAAAAGTGAGACTACTGCGTATCGGGTGTTTAAGTATTCATCAGCAAAAACTGATCCAGGCGGATCTTCCAAATGTAACGGCGTTACTCAGAAACCTGCAGCAGACAGCTCTGCGTCATCTTCGCGGATTGTAATGCAAGTGAGAATATTCTGCCAAAGTAACTGACAATGAAATAAACACCAGTCAACATACGTTAAAATTTTAACTGATTTTATCACATTCCGTCATTTTAAAGCATTTATATAGGCTTTCCTTCTACCAATCAGAAAGCATCCAACTTAGAATCGGAAATTGATAAGTTTACACGTCTCCAGATGAAAACAACATATGTTTATTCAACGGAATTGACAAATGGCATATAGATGTCCCGGATTTTATACAGTATTGGAATCGTGAATCTTCTTCATGAACGTTCACACTTACTCTGTTTTACTTTCAGCTTCGAAACTCCACGCCATTCAGCTTTAGAGTGACCCACTAAAGAGAGCAAGTTGACGGACGATGATGAGATACAACCAGAAATTTTTCTCGCTGTATTGTGTGTTGGGGCTTTTATCGGTGAACAACAACTGTCAAAAGCGAAACGTCTCAATTCCTTAGTGTATAGAGAAGAACAAATCTGATGGCAGATATAAAAGGGTGCCATTATCTGATCAGGAGAATACTGAATGTATTGTTCTGTGTGAACTTGTGCCATACTCACGTTGATCATCAAGCTTCCAAGTCAGCTTTACGTGTGCGAATGGAACTGTGATAACAGAGAAAAAGAAGTCTTCAGGAAGCCTTTAACAAAAACCAGGGAAAATAATTCCCCGGGAGATTTGGTTTTCATCTACCATAGAAAACAGTCAGGCCTGTGAATAAATAAACGCGAAAAATGATATCCAAGCTGAGAAAAATAATCAGTCTGAGAATATAAGCAGCACAATTTATTGACATTTGTAAGTGGTTTTTATCCGTTTGAGCAGAACTAGCCAGTTACTGGCGCAGAACTGCGACACAGTGGCGGATCAAACGGATCACTCTGCACATAGTTTGCAATGTGTGGTTTGTTCAAGTCAGTGGTACTTTCCAATGAAGATCCTATCTGGCTTAATCTGTATTTAAGTTTGATTTATTTTCAGCCTCATTTGTGGGTAAAAACGTTACGCAGTTATGCTATTCTGATGTTCCAACGTTTACTTCGAAGAGTGACGAATTCAGTGTGTAATCTTAAAAGTAACAAACGGAAGATTTCAGGAAAACTTTATTTTTACCGCTGCCCACGGATTATTCTCGCTAGCCACACGGTTTTCTGTAACCATTTTTCCCAGGGAAATACGCACACTTGCAAAAAAATTTGATTTTGCGAGATACTCACCCAAAACCTAGCTGAAACATCATAAACGAAGGAATCAGCTGGGTTCCAGGTTAGTTTCTCGCAAAACCAAATTTGTTTGCAAATGAGCGCATTTGTCCAAATCAGTCCGATTCGAGTTCAAGTAGAACATAAGGTTGACGGAAACTCGGGGACTGCGTGTACGTGATGGTCCCCAAGAAGAGCTTTTGAAGAATTTTCAGCAAGCTTATGAGTAGTGTATTACGTCCAAACCGGTTTTCTTCTTCCTCTTCCGTAATCGCAGAAAGCAGGAACGAACTTCAGGCGTTTTTGACACAGTTTCTATGATTGAATTGAAAGCATCTGTTTTCCTTTGCACTGGAATACATCTTTCCAAGTATTCGTGCATAGCCCACTGGCGTACATTACACTCTCATGTTTTTCACGAAGTCTAAGGGAGGTACTATCCAAGGTGTGACATACACCAACGAACTTTCGATGGCGGTTGCAGCACCGCAGTCACACTTAGAAATTTCGAAACATGGCAAGCCGCGAATGCTTCACAGAACGCAAAGAAAATACGAACTTCTACTGTTTATCTGTGGCCACCAATTTAGCGTACGAACCAAGTGACAGTCGTGGACAACCAGTAAGCCCTCAGCCTCGCGGACCACAAGTTGACATGCAAGGGTTAGAGAGGCGAAATGGACCAAACACCACACTAGGTCATGAGTGGGTGAGGTCGACCCAGTATTTCAGGGCTTTTCTCAGGTCTGTGCAATTCGTTGTGTAAACACTAGAGGTGGACTCTCGCAGGGGAAATTTGGAACCGTCGTTAGGTTCTATCTGTCCTGCTGATTTTGAGGACAGCATCGAGACAAAATGAATGTCACTGCATTCTCCAAATCAGATATGTACGCATTTCTATGTCCTGCGTGCAGCAGCGGCGTGATTTTCATTGGTAAACTAACCGCGCTATTAGACTGAGGTAAATTTACAAATGTGCTTCATCTGAAAGGGCCTTTAGTTTGTAAACCATTTTTGGGCTTATTTCTTTACTTCCCCATCACGGATCTGGGGTGATCCTTTTTCAAGAAACCATTTGTTGTTGTCCTGTCAGGCACCAGAAAACTGCGATATGATGTATTGCCTCCGGATAGAAACATGTTATTAGGTGACGTGTTTGTTTGTAGGAACACATAACTCCAAGTCGATAACAACTCCGTTTATGCTTAATTTTACGTATGTAACGTAAACGTTTCGACCTGGGCAACAGTGCTGCAATCAATGCCCACTTGACGAACCAAGCGGGAGAGAATAATCGTCCCAACTTTTTGTGTGGTTTCATTGGTTCGTCGAGGGTAGTAGTTGGATAATGCGAATCGGACCAAAACAAGACGAGTATTAGGATAGGGCTTTTGGTATAAGTATTCAAAGTGCACATTTCCTGTAGTGAGAAGGCACGGGATCACGTGCGCACACGAAGTCCATCACACACTTGCTAGTTTAAACGTTTTTTTTACAGGATTGGGATAGTTATCGAGTATTCCTGAATGCTTAGACCATTATACCGTGTCCATGGTCTCCCATCAAAAACTTGGCATGCATTTATTGCAACAACCAGGGTGAGAATGAGCTATGAAATACAAACACTAATACTCTAAACTTCAGAATGGGCAAATCTGCCTGCATATTCTCGTAGAAAGACTCATCAAGTTGTATTTTATTTTCTTGATGGAAAAAGAATTCGCTTATTAATTGTCGTATCTCACAAATATTGTACGATTTGTCTCCGAGCAGAATAAGATTTTGACGAAGCCTCGGTGACTTCGTCTACCTGATGAGTTCCAAACGGAGTAAAACCAACCAATGGCTGTCGAATTTTTGTCACCAGCCTTATGAGTAGTATGTGGTTTCAGTAATATTCAAACATCATACGGCCTTCGTGCAGAAAATTAGGTTAAAAGTCATAACAGAGAGACTTCTCTGGGATTTGGTTAGTTCTTTCTTTGGCATCATTTTTCTGCAAACGAGTGTATTCTGAAAAGTGCAGGCCACTCTTGTTTAGCTTTTCCGAAGGCTACTATTATATTGTTGGGAGTCGTAAATCGGAAGCTGTGGACTCAGCAAAATGTCCACTTTAAAATGCGTAGAGCAGTTTTCAACCTTTCAGTTCTATCCCCTGCTAAGCTACGGAACTGTTGGTTGGATGTGTGTTGTGCAAACCATTAACCATCTACTGAAATGTGACTAAGTATTGCAGGTGATGTTTGATTTTTTGTCGAAATGTTAACTCGAATAGGTTTTGCAAAACTTTGGTGCCTCAATGTGATATGGTTCTAAAGCTGATTTCATTAGTCAGGTTTTGTCAGTGTACTCATGCGTATTAATAGAATAGATTTTCAATATTTTATTATCTAGACCGGAGGTGCTGCAAGTTGGACACTCCAGCATACACTTTGTCAACCCGCAATAACTGATACATTCTTAATACAAGTACCTGAAGTGTCCTTGGCTTCGAGCCAAGAAATGTTTCGGGTACACTGGTACCAGACTCCTTGACGACCGATAATCTAATTTTGTTTGAAGAACTTCTGTAAGCAAGTCCTTAGTTCTGGTTCGAAATTACCACAAAATCTCAAGATATGTGCAGCTTTTGTTAGTATACTGGTTCTACTAACTGAAAAGAAAAGCCAGGCCACCTAATCTTGATATTTTTAAAATTGGAAGACGATTTGTCCTTATAGTACACGACATGAAATTTGAGATTCTACACATAAGCACAAAATGCAGGAGCCTCTGAGGGTTATTTATTATTTTAGAATGAGTTCTTCCATGTCAAATCCAAACCAAGGTTGGTATGCGAAAGTTGCGTTGGCAAAACAGCTGAAAAACAGTAATCAAACGTTCGTGGTCACTGGCATTGGTTATCAAACATATCATCATACGCATCTACCGGTGACCGCAGTGACACAGTACACATGCTGCAAAAACTGTGTTGGAGTCTGTCTAATTCACAAATAACTAGCATAGACAGACACAATGTGACCAGACCGCAGGCGGAATGTACTTTGTCAAGTACCACAGCGACCGAAACGTTGAACAGAATCAGAAAGGAAATTCCAAAGTCCGAAAGTAATACACATGCAGTGCGAACTGATATGATAAAACATAAACTATTTACAACTCATTTTCAATGCTCTACTCATAAGGTTGCTGAAAATTTGCTAAAAATTCAGCAAGCTTAAGAGTAGTGCACTAGAAATATACATGTGTCGCGATATCTCGAATATCCTAGCGAGTGAAACATGAGGCGGCCTGGAGCAGCACATTCAGTTGCCTGGAAACATCACGAAAGAGAGATTCAGCTGGGTTCCAGGTGAGTCTCGCAAAAACCTAGATTCTTCTGAAAAAAGGTGTTTTTCTCTATCTACAATTCAGTTTATTTCCCTGTTTTCCTGTTACTCATAGCATTAATGCGCTCTCATGAGGTCGTAGTAAAGCTAAGACTCAAAACTAGGACGAAAGGTGATCCGGAACAGCTATTCGCTGATTAAGACAGGAAGCACTGTTATTCTCCCTCAGTCTTTTAATATCATTAGTGGTGCAAATCTCACGACCCTTTTGGAAACTAGACACACAGACAACTGGTCACTGGTTGGAAACCCTGCTCTCCAGCCACGAGTGGCTGATCACCAATAACGCAACCGTAGATCGGAGGATAAAAATCGTTTTGTCAATTTCATGGATGACGTATATTTTTGAACTACTTTTATTTCTGGTATATGCAGTTAGTTACCACTTCAGTCGTCGTTATGTATGAAACAGGAGAATTATTTTCTACTCCAATTCTTGTGTCGTAAATCAGCGAAACTTCTGCCAATTTTGTGTTGATAAACTAGCCTAATTAAGCCTAGGTATGGTAATGACTTTATTCGTTTGATGAGCAACCAACATTATAACATCTGACTAACGTAGGTAATCTTGTTTAGGGAAAATGCGTCAATTTGATAACTTACATCAGTCACTAGCGTTCCGGGAGCTGCCTGATACAGGCGCCTTCGACATTTTTAGAGCGCACAAACGGACCATGGCTCTCACAGTATCCCCGCCCCGTTTTTTCCTGTTACCTCCGTTTCTCAGGTGAAAACATCTGTGCATCAAACATTTTTTACTTTGTAACAGACTGGTTTTCAAATTCTTTTGGATTAATTCCGAGATGCGTAGTTTGCACACAATGATAGCTGCCGTCTTGGTCATAACGGAATTACAAAATGTATTACTCAGAAGATTCCTTGGCGAAATTCAGTGATAATGAACATATCAGAACATATTGTTTTCGGTAACTATCCACTTCGACCAGTTGGGACAAAAACCGTCTATAAAAAATGAAAAGAAAAAGTCGCCTATTCTCATTGACTCCTCAAAATATCGCAGCCACAGATTACACTTAGTGTCAATGACACTTAGTAGTCGTGTGCACTGCACCGCTTCAGCAAAGGTAGACACGGGATATATAACAAAGGGTGCCTAGATGCGAGTGAGAGGGCCATGTTGAGCTGGAAAGACTGTGTAAAATTATTTTGCTTGCACACGTTTGGGTTGGTGAGCCAAATGACAACACTTTACGGAACTGTTGAGAAATAGGCCTCAAATATTGTCTTAAAGGCAAGACAGAGCATTCAGAGAGCGAAGATTTTGCCACCTCGGTGGTCAGTAACCCACAGATATGACCACATATTCCTATCTACCATTCCCAAAATGCATCCCAGAAGGATCGTATTTCGCCCGTTTACATAGGGAAATTTTCGTGTCTTGCGGTCTGTCTACACTGGTTCACGGGTGCAAAGTAAAGAGTAGACATAGAACTGAGGCTGTCATACATTAATTTTAATTTCTGAACGGGTGACCATTTATTCACGTGGGATGTGTGATATAAAGCTGCTCGATGTGACCGTGGGCTATTGTGTTTGTGTTAGCAAGAAG